ACGGTGCTGGCGTTCTATCAAATAATGCTACCTTTTAGATTGTACGGTGTTCTGCCTTTGTTTTGCTCTCCATTAAAATTGAAATTACGATGTAGCCGGTGTACTTTGTACAGCTGCCATCAGTCCCTGTAACTTCTGATGTCCTCAGAGCTTTGTCCTGCAAAAATGCGGTCAGAAAATTTAGTATGCTCTTAACCCGCTCCATCGACAAACGTGCGATAGGCTATCCATCGCGAATGATATATGCAGAGTTGACAGAAAAAATGTTACACACCCCGTAGCAGGTGAATACAACAAAGAACTAAAGCCCCATGACTTCTCACTTTTTGCTGACAATGCAAAGGCAGAGTACAGTAACTTTAAAATAGTGGTCAAAAGTCAAGTTTGAGCTCAAGAATTTTTTATGTAGATAATTTGCATTACTAAAACATCTAATTACCAGATTTACAGTGTCCTACCTATAATTAATTTGGAGGGACAACTGAAAATCTTTAAAGTCATTTTTCTCAGTTCCACACTCTGAGTTAAGGTCTTTCTCATTCTTTTTTTATTTTGTAATATTTTGTAACTATTGATGTAATATTAACCCTTACTAGACAGAACTTACTAAATGTTATTTTAAGGCTATCGTTGTTATCATTGAAATGTTTGTATAGAGTGATAAAAGTCAAAATGGTCAATAAATTAGAAGTTAAGGTATTTTGCCTTTGTATGACCCATTATTGTTTTGCAGATAATGCAAAGGCAGAATACAGTAACTTCCGAATAAGGGTCAAAGGTCAAGTTTGAGCTAAACATTTTTTAATGTAGATAAATATATTCATTATGACAACTACTTGGCAAATTTTCATTGTCCTACCTATCATACAATTGGCTGGACAACAAAAAAACTTTAAAGTCATTTTTCTCAGTTTCACACTCTGGTGAGTTAAGGTCTTTTGCCTTTGTAGGGCAGCATGGGCGTCGGCATGTTGACGCATGGTCAAAAGCGTCAGTTAGATGACGCTTTGGGATGAGAACGGGCTATCCAGGTCCACCAACGCTCCACGGCCCAGACCTGCCAATGCACCATGACCCTCTGCTTCATGGTCCAGGCCCTCCTCTGCCCAGGGGCCCAGGTCCAACACTGCTTACAATATACACAGTCATGAATATATATATATATATATATATATATATATATATATATATATATATATATATATATGACAAAGTGTTTATTTGTGACATTAGCATTTAATTTGAGGTTAAAAAAAACTTAACTTAAAAAAAAACAATAATAGCTGCACTGGAGATATATACAGATATATGTGTATTCAAAATCAAAATTGACTATTGACTTTTACACATGATTCATAATTGCACATTCCTAGAACAAACATTTTTGTCTTTGTAATTGTTCATCAAAATATAATAACCTGCTTTAATTACAAAGCCCTTCTATAAACCCCTCCCCTTTCTGGCAACGTGCACTCCAATCAATTCATGATGGAAAATCAAGTCCTGTCCAATATCCTTTTTCACTTAAATGTCACATTGTGAGTAAAATGGGATGAAAATGCAATTTCATGTTGACTTTAAATCCTATGTTAGTTTTCAGTTTGTACCTGCTTTTGTCATTTTGGGCTGCAGCATAAGCTTGAGACAGTTACATTGTAACTTTCAACTTGTACCATTGAAATTTGCAAGCGAAGAAAGAGATAAATGATTTACTTAACACCAGTTTTGGCATTCTGAAGTGTCTGCTGTTAGTCTGTTAAGCAGGGACTTGCACAGAATGCGAGTGAAAATGCCTTTAAAATTGCTATTAGTGTGAATCTGACAAAAACTGAAGCTGAGACACTCACAAAAATATTTAAATGATCCTACAAAATAAGATTAAACCTGTGCGTCTGCTATTTTAAAGACTATTAGTCTAAAGATGTTAGACTAGCATGAATTTTCAAGATGGTCTTAAAGAGGTTTTCCAGCAAAACAAGATGGTTAGTGAAACTGTGTGACCAGCGAAGCCTTGCTGGTAAAGCTAGTTAATTAAAGGTGCAGTATGAAATATTGACAGTTACAGTAGCTAATGCAGACAGTTGTTTTCCCAGCAACCTCCTCCTCAGACTCGACGCTCGCGCATGTTGCCAGGTTGAGGACATGCAATAGGAACGAGCGCAAGTGACAATGAGTAGAGACAAGCCTTACACTAATGCATACATTTGCAATGTTTTTATTGCCGTGGCTTTTTAGGTCAGGTAGAATCTGTGATTTCTGACCCAGTTCGTTTTATGGGTTTCCGTGGCTGCAATACTGTTTTTTGAAGAACCAAGTATTTGAACTTAGTATGTCTTCTAAATCCCTGCATACATATTAAGGTATTTTTGGTATGGTCAAAAAAAGATTCATATAGCACCTTTAAGAAGACAAGTATTCAAGAAGTCAAGCAGGAGCTGGTATTTTAAGCACAATGTGAGAAAATCAAAAGAAACTGTATTTTTACTTCAGCGGTTTCATTATTTTACATATTTCTTCAACTTTTGCTTCACAGGGAGTCTACAAATTCATGGCACCCGCCCGCTCAGGAGTATATCCAGCCGATTACACACCCTAAGCAGCCGATGAATATTTCACACCAGCTACAGGCCGAGGAGGAATATGAATACAGATGTCACTCAGTTGTCAAGATGTCTCCAACGCTTCTGCTGTACTGCCACGAAGACGCCACATACATTCTCAATGGATCCCGCCTGAGGCGACGTGCCGTCTCCTATCTATCTATCTATAGCTCTGAGAAATATTGTAAGATTTTATGCTTCTGCACCCCATTAACAATTGCCTCCGTGACAAGGTATAGCTTCACCTGAACTGCTGAGACTGCAGAACCTACCACGTAAATATTCACAGAATATTGGCTTTCGTTTTATATTAGGTGCAACTTGTAGCTGTGTTTTTACATAATAGCTTCCAAGGCACAAAATTATGAATGTATAATGATATTAGGGCTGTAAATGAAACACTAACAAGCTGTTCGAACTTCTTATAGGGACTGTTTACTTTTAGTGCATCTTGAATTTGTGATCTGATTATGTACATTTTACATACACTTGGCTGCATGAACATGTCTCTGCAAAAGGGATATAAATCCGTTCAACATTTCTCACATTATATGTTGTTCAATTTTCTGATAATGCTAATTACAGGCTTCTTTGTGGCTTCCAAACTTCTATATGTTATGTTGTTGATGTAGGCACATTTAGAAGAAATGAAATGTTTGTGGCCTGAACAAACAAGCCTTGTCTCTAATCACTTCCTCTTCATATTGTAATTAGTCTCAAATGCATTGTTCAGTATACTTTTATCATTCTGTCAGGACCACTATCGTCAAATATGACTGACAATTAGCATACAGTTTGGATTGGCGGTATGGTTCTGTTCTGGGGTGCGTTTCCTGAAAGCATCGTTAGCCAACTATGGTCGCAATTTCCATTGAACTCTATTGGTAACTATGGAATTTGCGACCATAGTTGGCTTTGGGAAACGCACCCCTGGGCGAGAACTCCCTGCGCATCCATGCAGCCTAGCATGGATAAGAGCAGGGAGAGCAGCGATAACCCCCCTTAGGGTAAACAGAACAGAACCAACATGAATGTAGATATCATTAATTCAAGATTTTAAAGTACAACATAATTCGAGAATTTATTCTGATTCAAGGGGAATCAGAATGCCAAATCCTGACTTGGCGAGAGGAGGAGCTGGGGAGGGAGGAGGGTCTTTAGCTCCTGAGAAACGCGATAGCTGCTGATAATACTGAAGGAGCTTATATATGTATACAGTGATAGGCGTCGTATTCCTATAGGTAGACGTGGATCGTGACCTGCCAGAACTGACGCTACGCTTGATTTCTGTAGTTTTCGCTAAAGACCGCAGCCTCTAGCGTCAGTTGTTAGTGCGGCACTTGTGGCCAGGGGAGTGAGCTTTACCTGCACAGCTCTTACTAGCTAGCCTCCGTTACACATACATTCCCAACATGCATTTTTTACTGACAACAGGGTTGTCTCATTCTGCTGTGCTGATGGTAATTTTATGTGATGTATGAGATCTCTTGTTTTTGCTCACCCTGTGAAAGGGGATATAAGGACGGTTGTTTTGTTTGACTGTGGGATGAGAGACCAGACTGTAAGAGACATCTGCTCTGTACCACTGCTAATAGATGTCTTTGTAAACATTAATTCTCTCATCTCTCTAATTCTTAACAGCCTCAAATCCAACAACTTTCAATACATTTGTATATTAATTATATTTACAATTAAGCATACATTAATTATATCATAATATAAATTATACAAAATAAATTATGATATAATTGGATAATTTAAAATTTCATCTTAAAAATATTTCAAATCATAATTCGATCATAATTTAGTTTTATATGACCATTTTCTTCCAGCCATCTCCCTCTTAATGAACCCTTATTGAACAGGTCCGTTTTTGATACTGTCCCTTTAAGACTATGTAAAAAAAAAAAAAAAAAAATGTTTTTGAATGAGTAACATTGGTTGTGTAAGGTGGTGTTTTTCTTTTCGGGTCCAACATAGAACAGCCTCATCTTTTACTCACTGCATCTTTGAGCAAAGCCTGCATTACATTGTGGCAAATTCATAAAACAGTGTGCTGAAATGTGGCTCACAAGTGTCAAGCTGAGACGGAATACAAAGTAAACATCAGTTGCTTGTTTTTGACGCTCTAAGGGTGAAACAGCAGGATGTTTAGTGACATTTTCCTGTCTTTTCCCAATTTCCAACTTAGGTACTCTATTCTGTACCTAGAAATGGTATCATGAAAGTAATATCTTAAATTACTTATTATATATTTGTGTTTTATTAGGACTCTCCACAGACATAACGATATTTTTGGGACAGACTCGATCGTCACGCCGGAAACAAGAAGACGGTCTGATTGTTGTTATGGACAGGAGCTACAGGTTCAGGGAAATACACTCACCTAAAGGATTGTTAGGAACACCATACTAATACTGTGTTTGACCCCCTTTCGCCTTCAGAACTGCCTTAATTCTACGTGGTATTGATTCAACAAGGTGCTGAAACCATTCTTTAGAAATGTTGGCCCATATTGATAGGATAGCATCTTGCAGTTGATGGAGATTTGTGGGATGCACATCCAGGGCACGAAGCTCCCGTTCCACCACATCCCAAAGATGCTCTATTGGGTTGAGATCTGGTGACTGTGGGGGCCATTTTAGTACAGTGAACTCATTGTCATGTTCAAGAAACCAATTTGAAATGATTCAAGCTTTGTGACATGGTGCATTATCCTGTTGGAAGTAGCCATCAGAGGATGGGTACATGGTGGCCATAATGGGATGGACATGGTCAGAAACAATGCTCAGGTAGACCGTGGCATTTAAACAATGCCCAATTGGCACTAAGGGGCCTAAAGTGTGCCAAAAAAACATCCCCCACACCATTACACCACCACCACCAGCCTGCACAGTGGTAACAAGGCATGATGGATCCATGTTCTCATTCTGTTTACGTCAAATTCTGACTCTACCATCTGAATGTCTCAACAGAAATCTAGACTCGTCAGACCAGGCAACATTTTTCCAGTCTTCAACTGTCCAATTTTGGTGAGCTCTTGCAAATTGTAGCCTCTTTTTCCTATTTGTAGTGGAGATGAGTGGTACCCGGTGGGGTCTTCTGCTGTTGTAGCCCATCCGCCTCAAGGTTGTGCGTGTTGTGGCTTCACGAATGCTTTGCTGCATACCTCGGTTGTAACGAGTGGTTATTTCAGTCAAAGTTGCTCTTCTATCAGCTTGAATCAGTCGGCCCATTCTCCTCTGACCTCTAGCATCAACAAGGCATTTTCGCCCACAGGACTGCCGCATACTGCCCTTTTCACACCATTCTTTGTAAACCCTAGAAATGGTTGTGCGTGAAAATCCCAGTAACTGAGCAGATTGTGAAATACTCAGACCGGCCTGTCTGGCACCAACAACCATGCCACGCTCAAAATTGCTTAAATCACCTTTCTTTCCCATTCTGACATTCAGTTTGGAGTTCAGGAGATTGTCTTGACCAGGACTACACCCCTAAATGCATTGAAGCAACTGCCATGTGATTGGTTGATTAGATAATTGCATTAATGAGAAATTCAACAGGTATTCCTAATAATCCTTTAGGTGAGTGTATGCTGCCTATTGTTGTTGTGTTTACATATGACTCAGTAAAGCCCTGACATTCTGTTCTATTTATTTAATGAATCATAATGCGATCGTATTATTCAGCTCGCTATTATTAGCCTATGTTTGAGACATCAACCACTGGTCGATGATCACAATGTTTGTATAAACTTGTCATAAAAACCGTAATGATAATTACACTTAAATATTTTCTTCTCAGCCATGTTAACAATTGTCCGTGAGCGAAATCTCCTCCCATCCGTTGTCTGATTGGCCTTTCGCAAGGATTCCTGGGTAGTTAAAGTGCGTGGAGCCTGCATCTATGCGGGCTTTGCGGAAGACCGCTTCAAGGGTACAAAGGGGGTGCTGCTGAGCACACTTCAGAGCATTAAAATGCTAAATGGGGCGGCCTACGGACTCGTAGACTCGGTGAGCACGCGCAATTTAAGTCCACGAGACCGAAAGTCTGCATGAAGTGCGCCATTTGGGACAGGGCCTGTGAGTGAGTGAGTGAGTGAGTGAGCGAGCGAGCGAGTGTGTGTGTGTGTCAGTCAGTGAGTGAGTGAGTTTGTGTGTGTGTGTGTGTGTGTGTGTGTGTGTGTAAGTCAGTGAGTGAGTTGCTTTTCATTCAAATTCAAATTTTGTTTTAAATTCAAATTTGTCTACAAAACTAATTTAAAGCATTTAAGCATACGCATTTAAATTATATATGTAAGACTTATATATTATGCATCACACCTTTCTTGCTGTTTGAATGTGGCCTTCTTGGCTTCTGGAGTAGAATAGCTCTGCCTCAGAGTGTAAGGTGTTCTCAGAGCTTCAACAGTGTTATCATTTAGTCATGCACAGCTCTTTGGCCGTTCAGAAATCTGTAATATACATTTTTAATGAGAAGTTCTTAAAATAGCAGCTAAACACAAACTGCACACCCAAATAGTTTAAGACACTCAGCAAAAAAAGAAAAAAGTACCTGTTTTTTTCTTTCCTCCACAAAGCTTTGACATAATGATGTGAATGTTATGCCCATGAGGAGGTGGTTCATGATGATGATAATTATGATGTGGAAACTTACAAAGAGGGCAAAGGAGATGAGAAAAAAAGGAAAGAATATGATGTTGATGGTGATGATGACAGCAGTGATTATGACAGTGGAAAATGTCTCACGCTGAGACCGAAACAACCATTTGCCTCCAAGCAATGCAAATCTCAAAGAGCGTTTCCCACTGTAACCTCGATTTCTCATTGATCAAGCATTCCGCTCTTTTCCATGCACAGTCATTAGGAACAGACAGAGATCGTAACATACAAAGAGCGATGCTGGGACTGAAGACGGAGTGGGTGTCAGGCTGCTGAAGATCAGGTCATTTCCCACCCGTGCAGACCTCCTGCGTACAAGCTAGATTTCTCTCTTTAAGCGGCTGATGTTGCGGTTATAGATGCTGATGTTATAGATGCTGATGCGCAGTGTTTGGGAGGTTAATTTGAAAAGTCATTTTATTTTAGCAAGCTACAAAATACTCATAATCTAAACTATAGTCAAGATATCATTTTACAAAAGCAGCTACACTACAAGGCAAGCTACTAACAAAAAGTAGCAGACTACATTGGATATGATCTAAATGGGTCAACAGTTTGTTGTGGTGCTTTGATTTATTTTACTAAGATCTAATATTTAGCATTCATTACAACAATGGGACGTTTCACTATTTGTATTACTCCACTTGACTGTCTTTACATTTTGTTCCATTTTAGAGTTTGTGAGTGGTGCTGATAGAACGTAGAGCGATGAGCTGTGACCTACGGTAAAACTCTTGCCTGTGCAATATTGCATGACATACTGTATGTCTTGTTCAAAAACAATGAGAGTTTTGAATTTCAACGAGGATGGCAGGATTAAAAAAAAAAAACTAGAATATAACTGTTGAAAAGAAGCATTTATGGGGCTGTGGAACATCCTTGAACGAAGTGGTTTACTTCCTGAGACATGCCAGGCCACCAATAACGGTTGCGGATGAGCGAGATCAGGAGATCCATGAGGGACAGTCACAGAGAACATAGGTTCGTCCTTCAGGACCTCCCGGCAGAGCAGGTTAAGTGCGGGTGGCATTGGATGGGACTGACGATGGCGGCTGGAGGGACAATGGGCTTTGGCAGATATTTGGGTTGTTCAGGGGCATTGATACGGGAAAGTGCATCAGCCTTTTGATTCTTTGTTCCAGGATGGTAAGTCACTGTGAAGTTAAACCAGGTGAAGAATAGAGCCCATCTGGCCTGACGAGGGTTCAAGCATTTGGCTTCTCTGAGGTATTGCAGGTTACGATGGTCTGTGATGACTGTGAATGAGTGGTTGGTTCCCTCCAGCCAGTGGCGCCATTCTTCCAATGCAAGTTTAATAGCTAGAAGTTCCTAATTGCCAATGTCATAGTTCTGCTCTGCCGGGGATAACTTCTTGGAGAAAAAGGCGCATGGATAGAGCTTCGGTGGAACCCCCTGCGATAGCACCACTCCCACACCCATTGTGAAAGCATCAACTTCTTCGACGAAGGATAAGTCAGGGTTAGGATGAATCAATGTGGGAGCGGTGGTGAATGCCTGCTTGAGCTGGTGGAATGCTTCTGTGGCCTCTGGTGACCAGGACAGAGACTTAGGCGTTTTACATAGTTGGTGAAAATGGAAGCACCTATCAGCATCTTGAGCCGGCAACAGAGGAAGGGGATATTTGTAATTAAAAAATAATTCTCAGTCTGCTTGTTGAAAGCTCGATAAGCGATGCACGGCCACAAGCCTCCGTCCTTCTTGGCCACAAAGAAAAAGCTGGAAACGGCAGGGGATGTAGAAGGGTGACTGTAACCCTGACGAAGAGCCTCTTCTACATACTCCTCCATGGTTTTTTGTTCTGGGTTGGATAATGGTTACACTCTTCCCTTAGGCAATAGCACAGTCCCATGGCCTATGATGTGGTAAACGGGTAGCCAGTTGCTTACTAAAAACATCCTGGAACACCCCATACATGTACTCCTCTGGGATGTCGACTTGGTGTTGTCCTTCGGGAGTCTCGATGGTGGTGGCTTGGAGTAGCACATCAGATGATTTAGCAGGAGAAATGGGCCGAGATCGGCAAAAATGATTAAAACGCTGTATTTTGCTAACAGACCATTAGATGGCGATGAAACACTAGACTACACATGTAATACACATGTGGATGACGTCATCGTTTTCAGAGATTCGTGTTTTTGTTGTTTACACAGACCGTTTTCAAAAACTTGCACTTTGAAAAGTTTGTGTTTTCAGGCAACCAAAACGCTGTTGGTGTGTAAATGAACGGCCAAAAGTTTTACGTTTTCAGTTGTAAATGGTGTTGTGTAATCAGTCCTTCAGTCGGCAAACAGATCTGTTTCTGTTCTGAGGCTGACGGAGTCCCGGGATCCATATTACTGTAGCCTCTCACTCCAGACAGAGCCAAAAGTATGTTCTCCTCACACAGGTAACTTAAACTCAAAATAAATAAATGTTCACCAAAAAATATATACCACTAACTTGAAAGTGTGCACCCAAACTAGTCAAATGTGGTATGAAATTAATAAAATTGGAAATAAAACAATGAAAATCCAACCAAATCTGTGTCTGTCATTATTAAAGGGTTAGTTCACCCAAAAAGGAAAATTATGTCATTAATGACTCACCCTCATGTCGTTCCAAGCCCGTAAGGCCTCCGTTAATCTTCGGAACACAGTTTAAGATATTTTAGATTTAGTTTTCTGTCCCTCCATTGAAAATGTATACACGGTATAGGCCTACTGTCCTTGCCCAGAAAGGAAATAAAGACATCATCAAAGTAGTCCATGTGACATCAGTGGGTTAGTTAGAATTTTTTGAAGCATCGAAAATACATTTTGGTCCAAAAATATCAAAAACTACGACTTTATTCAGAATTCAGTCTTACGGGCTTGGAACGACATGAGGGTGAGTCATTAATGACATAATTTTCATTTTTGGGTGAACTAACCCTTTAAGGAATACATATTGTTATCTGTAATAATGTAATGTAATAATGTGTGGCCATCGCATGATGCATTTGATTTTTTTACATTAACTTTTTTAATAT